TGCAAGGTGGGTCGCCATCTGGGAACTCCATTATGGAATGGTGGGATTTTCCGCAGTAGAAGTGCCATCGGAATTGAATGCAGAAGTGTCAGATGTGTAGGATTGACAGAGACTGACGCATTCTTGAAAGAGCGGGTAAGAATGGAAGGAGGTTCATATGTTTGGAAAAATCGGTCTCTTTTATTCCTTTTTCCCAAATTTGATCTGCGCTTCAGTGCTAGTGCATTTGTGAAGAGCGATACATGCGTTGCTACTTGTAGATGGAAGAACCAGATTTTGATTCATATTTTAGTCTGAAGGGCTGTCTGAAACTCCGCTGAAAATCTTCTCGAAAGTGTAGACTAATCGAAGAATCAGTCAAAACACCAACAGCATTTTGAAGGCGATTATAATCAATTGGTTTTTCGATAGGAAGGAAACAAGAGGTGCTAAGAGATGCAGCAGTGAAAAAAGTGAAGGAAACGGCCTGACACCTGCAGAGCGGGAATCCTTGTTTTCCTCGTCCATTTCCGCTTTGGGCGAATCTCGTTGCGGGCGCCTCCTTAGCTGACTTACAAGGAATGGTCATTGGTCAGTCCGGCCATTTGTAATGAGGTGTAGTCCGCACGCGTCTTGCGACGCTGAGCTCAAATCCGTTTTCGGTTTTTGCCGAACGATTCTCTGAACGAAGTTACGAGGGATTCTTCTCACTGTGGCTATCTCACTGTGGCGCCTCTACATTCCCACTCGGCTCGCATAAGAAGAGCCGGAGAACAGGCATGTCAGAGTGGTGGTATAGTGGTTAGCGCTCTCGCTTCATGTGGTGAGTTCGCATGTTCGAGTCCTTGGCCTTGACAAGTCTCTGCGCTTTTTCAGGGCTCCTCCTACGAACCCAAAAAGTGTTTATATTTGGTCATTTTGTTGATATGCATCCCCACTTGACACCTGGAGACCCTGGAACTTCCTTCTCGTGCTTCTTGTTAAAAGTATTTTTTATTATGATGAGCTTTGACACACTGAATACACACTCAGAAATATGAATGTATGAACGAGTTCATCGCAACGCGTTTGGTGGCACCATGCCAAACCACGCTCCAATCGAGTTGCTCCAGTTGTGCCGCTGCTGGCAACGCAGCTCGTCCAAATCACCAACTAAACTAGTGGGCGGATCGCTTTTGGGGGCGGAGTGCTTTCGAAGTCCTGCTCAGCAACCAGCGCACCTTTCGTTAGAAAGCGCCACATCTCGCCTTCTGAAGCGCCACATCTCGCTTCTCTGGCAGCGAAGTCCACCACGTCAAGATAGATTCGTGTCCGTGCCACTCTCCGTCCCCCATGCCGCTCCTTCATTCTATTCGTAAGTCGGCTGCCGGTCAACCACTCACCAGTGAAATCTATCGCGAGCACTTATCAGATCAAATCACATTTCAGGTAGGGTGAGAGACGGGACGGCGACGTTGCTCAGTCGTGGAAGGATAGTTAGAGGCTTGCATTAAAAGCAAGCCCGTTATAATTAGGTGTGGAAGAGCGCACTGAGAAGCTAGAGGTGGGGACGGTCTCGCGGAAAGGGCGAAAGAAAAAAAGGAGAGAAATCCAGGTCAATGCAAAGTTAAGCTTACTCTATTTGCAACCGTATTTTTTTTCGTCTGGGCAATGAGTAGGTGGCTTTAAGCGAGGTTTCACGAAGCCCGATGACATTCACAGTAGGTCTGGGCTATCCGTAGCCCTCTCAGCGTCGTAACCCCGTTTTTAGCCTTCAGCAAGCGTGGGATGTTCCATTACCTTATGGGCTTTTGTACACAGTTTCCAGAGAGTGCAGTATAGCGTTATAGAAGCTCACCGTACTTCAGCGCATTATATTATAGACCTAATTCCATTCTGGCCTCTCACTACTATTTAGGCCCTTAGAGGCTAGCCGGAATCGTTTAGCAAATATACGACGCGGACCGTTGGACCACCATTGGGACACTTTGTACGTTTTACGATGAAGCAAATTCTATTCATAACTCTTTCGATGGAAGTCAATCTCATGGCGCATCCCAAGTTTATCACCAGTGCACTCTTTTTTCCATGACGGTTGCTTCGTCAATTATAGATAGTTCTTAAAAATCACGCGCGATTTGCCAAAGGGCTAATTCTCGATTTCCCACTCCGTCAGTTTTCTCAAATGATCAGTTCTCACACTCAACAATTTATTAAAAACTGAAAATAGTTTATTCAAAACAGAAGGCTACGGAATGGGGTTGTCATCAGAAAATGTGCGGAGCGGGAGCAGAACATGGTAGATGTTTGAGCCGAATCAGTTTGAAACTTCGCTTCAAGGCTTTCCTCTCGTTTTTGAATGGATCCTCTGGGTGACCAATCATGCTGGAATAAGGAGTGTTGAAATACAATACAAGTCAATAAATAAAGAGTAAATTATTCCGAAGTGCAGAACTAGGCTGGGCTTTGTGCTGATTTTTTAATACGGTAGCCAACCATCGTACGGAAATGACGCCACCAAATGCTAAAGGAATCGGTAAGGGTGTAAGCAGTTTGCACTTGCTCACCAAGGTCTCCCTCCTCCTCTTACTAAAAACGGAAAATGAGAAAGAGATAATCCTAAGGTCGAGGGTCGAGGAATCGGTCAGTTCTCAATTTTGAGAGCAAAAAGGCGTTTCGGGTGATACTTATGTCTATACCAGTGTTTGGCTAATGTTGAGAACATTTTGCCGCAAATGCAATGTCGCACCCTAGAGTTGTATTGACAAACAGGGAATGGGCGTCGAAAATCACAAATGCGTCTGGAAGAGCCTTGGCCGACTGTTTTAGTTATACGATCGAGCAGTTTAATTTCGTCGTTGGTCAACGAAAAGTCGAATATCTGTAAATATATATTTTACTTGGGAAAAATATTCAAGATGAAGTCAAACTAACCGAGAAGTTTTCGACTACTCGTTTAGGTTTTACGGATTTCGGAATGATGGCGATTCCTCGGTCCACGGCGTAGCGTAGCAGAATCTGAAAAAAGAGAGCTCGTAATTAGAGTAAGCCAAAAAACTGCGAAGACTCACGAAATCGCACTATTGCGCGATCCGGTGCGGGCGGGGTACGGGGCGCCGGGGCTGGGGTTTGCGCCCAACCCCAGGCTCGAAGCAGTTTTCTTATATTTCCGTCTCATTATAGATAGAACAACTACCACAACCACGTTCTTTTTCGAGCGCAATAACTTTAACTTTTTTATCCGCTCTGAGGACCACTTTTGGATGGTGCAACCATTATCAAAAGGATTGTGGGTTCTTTCTGGCACCGATTCTTATACACTTTACAGTGATTATGACGCTGATGTCAACGAAAATGTGAAAAGTGGCGATGCTGTCGGAAATGCCTTCCTATGTGTATCATTCATTGTAAAACATTGTCTGATTTCTGATTTGGGGGTCTTTAACTGATAATTTGGCGATCTTTTTGTGGCGACGCTCCTGCTTCATTTCGGTCCGATATAGAATACCTCATCTCACTCGCTCACGTACCTGAGCAGGAGTTTTGTTGTACTTCTTAGCCAACTGCTTCACATTCGCGTCCTCCAGATCCTGTGGAGCTTCCTTCCATCCAAATTTGCTACAAATAGTCATACCACATATTTATGTTGATGTGTGTCAAAACAAAATATTTGCATCACTTTTTGTCATATGCTGGTTGTGAACAAAACTTTCGCTCTAGGCGGCGAGCTAGAATCACGCACTTTCTGGCCATGCCGGCAAAGTTGCGGCTACCACCTACCGTCAACCCGGGGCGCCATTTCCGCTCTAATTCAACCTACCCTGCATAAGTGTTGAAGGATAGATATAGGGAAGGTTGCGTACTATATACATGAGGCGTGCAGAAACCAACTCTTAAGGAGAATGTGCGGTTTGGGCGCAGTTTTGCACGGTATTTGGCACAATCTCAATGGGACACCGCTCAGCTGTTTAGTGTTGCTTAATCAAATGAAATGTGGGAATTTCAGCACGTTAACTACGGGGAGATGAGAGGGCAAACATCAGCTGTTCATACTTCGAGTCGCCCTGTGGAGTGCGATCAATGTTGGCCATTACCGTGGCAGCAACGGTCATCCATTCTCGCAAAATTCAAACGAGGGTTCCAGAAGTTTCCTACGACCCACAACCCCCCCCTTTCCGACCAATTTTTACCCCAAAAATACCGTCGAGCGGGGATATATACGCGCGCTGAAACGGCAAATTTTCTCCCGCGCCGCTCCCCACTCATCACATGCAACTTCTTACAACCGAAGCAAGTACGACCCCCTCTACAAACTCATCAAAATACGACCCCCCGTTGCTACTTGTAGCAACATAGGGTTGACCCTGCGAGGGAGTCGCATTTGCGATTGGGGAAGGGGGAGGTTCGCATTTTGGGTTTAAGCAAGTTAACTGCCTCTGGAAAAGGGAACGGGGGTTGTACAAAGTGGGCTGCATGACGGGGTTTTCGACTACCTTGACGAAAGCTTCATGAAAGTAGGGTGGTGTGGACAAAATTGGTGGATTTGCCGCTTCGGTGGGGTGTGTCAAGTGGTCCTAGAATCAAATACCATAGAAACAGCCATGATGGCGCGGATGGTGATTGGGATAGGAAGAAGGGATGGCATCTTTGAGGAGCCTGTTAGAAGTAATGGTGGTGATGGGAGTCACATCGAGACTCCTAGCGGAGGGCTGCAGAATTTTTGGAATATTGCGAACGCGACGGTCCGCCCCATTGGAGCTTTGGGCAAGCTGTGTTTAAGCAGCTTGCACTCCTGCAGCTAATAAGTTAACTCACTCAGCCATGAAGTTTGCTCGTCCTGGTGATCCCAAAGTGGCGTACGAAGTAAGGGAAATGTTATGTTTCTTGCAGATCTCGTGAAGTTCATGTTGAGGCCAGTAAAGGTGAAGCTCTACCTGAACTACTCAACTTATAACAGTGGAAGTTTGCGAGTATTCAAAAAATGCTCGAAAGTTCTCACCTGAAGGTTATGAATGGGC